AGAGAGGGAGAAGAGGACAACAAACGAGGGGCTGTGACAAACTGTTTCGTCAGAGTTTCACCGACTCATCAGGAGGCTGTATATATATATTTTTTTTAATTCTATGTTTTATTTTAAATTTGGTAAAGATTTTGCCTCAGGGTCACATCTGCGAGGAATGAGCCCTCGCAGGGCCCTTGTCAAGCATGCACATGTTCTGGGCAGAGGCCCCCAGTGAAGGCGGGCCTGAATATTCACTAGAGTTCAATATTTGACATTTTTCATATGTGGGTACTCAGGCTGTTGCAGCCCGCCAGTTGGTTGAGTGGACGCGTGAGACTCCCTAAGCTGCGTCGTACAGTTTGGCCCAGGCCTTGGTAGTTGCGCCTGGGCACATACACACAATGCAGGGCCAATATATCACGAAGTGGCTACAGGCCTACGCAAAAGCAGCATTGTCAACGTGCATACCCCCGGTCCTGTGCAAATGCAGCAAACCGCCCAAGTCTGGAAACTCAGGCCGTGCCCAACTGTAAAGGGCCCAGGCCCTCAACTGTAGCACTGGGCCTGGGCGCAGGCACTGGGGCCCGACCAGAAGCTACTGGAAGCTTCCCAGCCAGGCCACACGCAGCCAAACAGAGGCTGCCACTTCCATATAGGAAGGAAGGCAGCCAGGGTCTGGCGTTCTGGCCCACGCAGGCAATGCGGTCACGCTGCTGCGTTGCTGCGTTGAGGTAACAGGGCGCGTGTGGGCGCTTGTGAGGAGAAGAGGGACGCTGCTGGGCAGCGGAGCGCTAGCAGCCATAGTCGGGCTGGGGGGCGCTAGGGGGTAGGAGGGCGATCGGTGGTGTCAGGAAGGAGGCGAGTTTGGGTGGACAGGGTCTGACGAGGGAAGACGAGATACGTACCTGGTACATGAGAGAGGTCGGCTATGGTGTTGACGTCATGCACATTGGTCTTCAAGAGCCGAAGTTAGCCTGTTGCGAGAATGCTGATGTAGGTAGGATAGTCAAGTAGTGTCGGCTGGGCGCTGGGCGCCAGACAGAGAGGACCAACTTTAGATACTGTGTTGGTGTGGCCTGAGGGCTTGAACATTGGCTCATGACTTCATTGTATTGCTCTTATTTGGATGGAATCTCGGTGCATTTGTGCCGTCTGCTTGTACACAACTACTTGGACATCTGTGTGATTTCGCAACTTGGCTTTCTGTATATTGTTCCCACTCATATTCCTTGCACATCCAAAATCTTTACCAAATTTAAAATAAAAAAATAGAATTAAAAAAATATATATATGTTTTGTTGTTTTTCTTTTCGACCGTCCAGGCAAGGGGTCCCAACCAAGCGAAAAGAAGAAGGAGAACAAGCAGCGAAGAAGAAGAAGAAGAAGAAGAAGAAGATCTCTCTCTCTCTCTCTCTCTCTCTCTCTCTCTCTCTCTCTCTCTCTCTCTCTCTCTCTCTCTCTGTGTGTGTGTGTGTGTGTGTGTGTGTGTGTGTGTGTGTGTGTGTGTGTGTGTGTGCAACTAACCCACTTACCTTGGTACTGGCGGGTGACACGCGATGGCGGGCGTTGGTGGGTTCGCCGGAGCTGCCGTCGACGTTTGCACACGAGCGAAGGGAGGCGTCGGGCGGGGTAAAGGGGGTGACTCGTGTGGGGGAGGGAACGAGGGCCGGTAGTTCCCGCCCTCACGGATTTCAAATCGCAGCCCGTCTGCGCCGTCGATCTCGTTCCCTCCCCCCGGTAGTTCCCGCCCTCACGGATTTCAAATCGCAGCCCGTCTGCGCCGTCGATCTTGGAGATCAACGGCGCAGATCGTTCCCGATTTCGAAATGTTGAAATCGGGCCTACCGGCCCCCATTTTCTATTTTCATTGGCCTGGACGGCCTCCTGTGGGGGCAAAAAGCCCCCCCGCATCAACCGGCCAGGCGGTCCGGACACCCCCCCTTCTGTGATGCGCTGGGGTTGCCCGGTGGCCAACCGGGCAGGACAACTGTCCAGGCGGCCTGGGCCCCTCCCCGGGAGACGACCAGGCCGCCGGGCGGCCCGGGAGCCAGCCTAGGAGTTATTCCCATTTCATCTGATTCCATCAGAGCTCAAGCTCAGGTCTGCATTTCATCAGTTCATGGGTAATACCAACTGAGCTAGGCCAGTTGGTAGTGGTTTATGCCACCAGTACATCCAGATATCGGCCACAGGCCCTTTTCGGAGGCCCCCCGCCACCGATTCAATTTATCAATGGCGCTGGGCCTCCAAAAATTTTGTAGGCGACGAGTTTTCTTTTCAGCAAGGCTGGAGCCGCTTTGTGTGTGACGTTGTGGGGATTTGGGTTGCTGGTTTAGAATTACCCTAGAATGGCGAGAAGCAATTGCTTTCTCTTTACTCCGTCATAGAGGGCAAGCTCCTCCGCAGTAAAAACCCTCTGCAACCACCAGTAGTGAGAGGACCGAAAACACACACACAAAAAGAAAAAAGACGTAAGAGAACAAACTAGGATTCACTTATTCGAAAAAAAAAAAGGATTCACTTATTCAACGATCTGCTGCATCAATAGTGAGCAATGTGATCCATCCATTTGTTCATACACAAAATGAGAATCGCCAACACAGCCACGCAGGAGGAGTGCGGCAAAAGACACAACGGGGACGGCAAAGTGCGCAAAATCCTTACCGCCTATATCCGCTCAACTATTCTGAGTAGAAATATCAATTTAGTCATTTACTTTGCACAGCTTGACTATACATCCTCGTCCGGAAGCCAGCCTTAAACCACCACCACTTCCGAGCCTCTTTTTCACAAGGTGAATGGTGCTGCGAGCCCCAAAGAAAGCCAAACCAGCATGGCACAATTTTTTTTTTTTATTTTTTTGGCCAAGCCCCCTTCGGACGCACCTAATATACCACTTGCGCACTCAACCACCGCAAGAAATATACCTGGGAGACGTAGTGGTGCTCTGAAGTGTATCGTCAACCACAATCTGACTCCCCAATGTCCCCATCATCACCCAAATATCATACAGAAAACTGAACAACTTTTGCCTCGGGGTCAGATCGAAATTCTTTACCTTTTTTAAAAAACACGTGATCCCGGGCCACTCTGGTAGCCTGGCTTCGAACGCTTTCTTTCGGTGAGTAAGTGATGGCTCTCTTCCCCTCACCAACTAAGCGGACTCCATTCCTTCGGAAGTTCCCACTGTCCCAGGCCGCAATCACGCCACTCATTGACACACCTCCTTACTTCACCATGTAAGTGATGGCCGTCTCTCCTAGACCAAGCCCATACTAATTGGGACCACCACACCCTCATCCTGAACTCTCTTTGGCTGTTGTATGACAGATGGCACTCAGTTCCTAGCCATGGGCAGTGCCTAGATGCTCCCTTCCCATAACAGCCGCCAAATGCGCAGTCTTGGAGACAGAGCGCTCTGCTGTAAATGAGGGTGAGAACATGGGGCTCGCCGCACCACTCACCGGATTTGAAAAAAAGTCAACGGAGCGCATATCTCCCACCAATAGATAGAGCCAAATGGAGCCTTCACGCCACACCCCGCTTAAAGGGGATGCTCATATCACCCCTTTCAGTGTGGGTCCGAGGCAAGCAAGTTAAAAAAAAAAAAACATAAAAGCGGTGGGCATATCTCTCCAGGTTCTAAGGGGATATACATTCTCAGGTACCAGAGGGGCGGTAGGCCCTGCCTTCCGGTCTTTTTCCGAATGTGGCTGCAACCTACTGGGGGGACGCTGGCCATTGACTCCCCCACTTGGCATGGCCCAGGCTTTACCAGAACTGGCCAGGCCGTTCAGCTCTCAAGCCTTCCCCTACCTTCTTCACCCGAATACAACGTACGGTCATTGTAGAAAAGAAGACGGTAGGGCTAACCTGCCTCGGATGCTCCTGGCAAGCCCTTGTGGCCTCACAAAGAAATAATAAATAGAAAAGATTAAACCACCAGTACCTCACCCAGCTATCGAGTCCGAGCCTTGGCCGACCGGTATGCCAAGCCGTGCCGAGGTTCGGACTACCGGGCGCTGCCTTCCCAGACCTCTGCGGAAAGAGGGGGACTAAATGCCATTTTCTTTTTTTCAAAGTTCTTTTCATCATTTCTTCGCGGTACTTCTTCGCTATCAGTCACTCGCCGTACTTTCTGACAAAACTAAGCCAAAAAAGAAAACGAAAGAAACAAAAAAAAAAAAAAAGAAACAAAAGGGAAAAAAAAAGAGAAATCACGACCAAAATAAAGTTCAACTTTTGTTGGAGCGCGAACGAACAAGAGAGAGAGAGAGAGAGAGAGAGAGAGAGAGAGAGAGAGAGAGAGAGAGAGAGAGAGAGA